ACCACTGCCAACTTCCCCTCCCATGATACCAACATAATCAGCTTCAAGTTTAATGCTGTAGTTTTGGATTTATGTCATAACTCTTAATGGGAAATTGTCATTCTGCCCTGGAAGATTCCTCGGTATCAGGTTAATAATTAATCATGTCTAATTACACAAGACAAAAATGTTTCCTGAAAGTGGCATGCCTCTTCCCTGACTGGTTTCACAATTTATGGCCAGATATTCCACTGGTCGGATAATCATTGGAGCAGTGAAGTTTAGAATTGCATCTTAGGACCCTGCAGAATCCTAGACTGAGCTGACCCAATTGGACTTAACTGGGAAATAGAGAATTTTGATGAGTAATTCCTCTGCATTTGGAACCCTCTGAGGAAACCCTCTAATGTTAGATAATTTGGAAAGTTCTGCTTTTGTTGCGTTGATGGCTACCCAAGATTGGGGACACAATTAAAACCTAGTCTACTTAAGCTGATCCCCAAAACTTACCACATCTATCCACTATCGTACCTCCTCCAATTTCTTGCACCCGCTAAGAATAAATCCCGCCCTCCTAAAGCAGACCTTCCCAACCCAACATGATTCCACATTGCCCTCCCTATCCCCACCCCCACGGTTACCTTAGTTGCCCAAACACCAATTGTCACTCTAAACCCACAATCACCTTACATACTAACCCTTTTATTGTATAGAGATTTATATATATTTTCTTACTTCTTTTGGAGTTTCATTTTAAACTAGAGGCATATAGATTTTTCGACTGTGTATGAATGAGTTTACTGATTAACTTGATCAATTTTTCTGAAGTAATTTTTTTAAAAAATCCAGTAAGACAGAAAAACTTCCTGACATGATAATGGAAATTTGTTTGTATTGAGAGAGTTTTATGAACATACAGAATAAACATTGAGGAGCCTTAGCTTGCTTTCTGTTTAGAGGAATCATTTTGTTTTTAGGGGAAGATTCCATAATTTGGAAAGCTTTGGTTTTTCAGTTATGGCCCTGGCAGAAGTCGATGTATGAAAGTTTCTTGCATAGAAAGGAGATCATTTAGAACTGTTAGGAAATAGATTTCCTGTGTAAGGATTTTAGTTTGGAAGTTCCAGACTATAAGGTTTATGGATTATATGCTGAGGGCAGACATCCTGCATCCCAATGTAAATTTCGAGGACAGGCCCACTTTGTTCAGTTTGGCCCTGTTTAATTTTGCAGGATTATTATTACAAGGCAGGATTCATTGTTGTTTCCACGAGGAAGTCCCATGGCATGGTTCCCAGCCAATCTGAAGCCAGCAGTTCTGCACCATGCTAGTATCTGTGGCCACAGCTGGTATTGCAGGCTCACAAATCACACAACACCAGGATACTGTCCAACAGTTTATTTGAAAACACAAGCTTTCGGAGTCTGAAAGCTTGTGTTTTCAAATAAACCTGTTGGACTATAACCTGGTGTTGTGATTTCTGACCTTGTCCACCCCAGTCCAACACCGGCACCTCCACATCATGGCTACCATCGACACCACCACCTGCTGGTATTGCAGGAGGAAGAACAGTCAATGCCCTCAAAGCTAGTTATGTCCTGGATGTCACTTGGTGCAGGTCGGCAAGACCCAGTGAGAAAGACAGTAAAAGTATGTGAGGACTTGCCTTTGACAGGCACATGGACCTACAGAAAAAGGTCACCACCCCACTACTCCCATCCAGCCCTTTTTCTGAACAGCACCCAGGGAACTAAACATGCCAGGCTAGACGTTGAGCAAAGGCTTCTCCTGCTGCCTATTATGTAGGCAGCAGTAGAATAAATCACTTCATTGGGAATTAATTACACACAAAGGTCTCAATTTGGGTCACTGGCCATCAACTCAAAAGCTGCCTATAAAATCATGACACGAGGATGGAAGGGCTACTGCCAAAGGCACAAAACCCTAACATGCAGGTCCCCCCACTCACTCACCAATTTCAGGCCAGAAAGCCTTTTTTCTATTAATGAGTGAGGAAGGAATGTTGGTTTACATCATGGAAAAGTCAGTTCTTACAAAACAAATACATTTTAAAAAATATATAATACTGAAGACCTAAAACAAAATAGACTGTGTTGCAGAAAGCAAGTCTGACAGCATCTATGGACAGAAAGATAGTTAACCTTGAATCATAGAATCCCGAGAGGATGGAAGCAGGCCATTCAGCCCATCAAGTCCTCACTTACTCTCCAAATAACAACCTACACCACCCCCCCCACCCTATCCCTGTAACCCTGCATTGCCCACGGCTAATCCACCTAGCCTGCACATCCCTGGACACAATGGGCAATTTATCATGGCCAATTCACCTAACCTGCACATAGAGTCATAGAGCAAGGAAACAGACCCTTGGGTCCAACTCATCCACACCAACCACAGATCCCAATCTGACCTAGTCCCATTTGCCAATATTTGGCCCATATTCCCTCTAAACCGTTCCTATTCATGCACCCAACCAGATGCTGTTCAAATATTGTAATTGTACCAGCCTCCACCACTTCCTCTGGCAGCTCATTTCATACACACACCACCCTCTGCGTGAAAATGTTACGCCTCAGATCCTTTCTAAATCTTTCCCTTCTCACCTCAAACCAATGCCCTCTAATTTGGACTGCTGTACCCTAGGAAAAAGACATTGGCTATTCACCCTATCCATGCCCCTCATGATTTTATAAACCACTCTGAAGTCACCCCCTCAGCCTCTGATGGTCCAGGGAAAAAATACCCAGCCTATTCAGCCTCTCCCTATAGCTCAAACCATCTAGTTCCAGCAACATTCTTGTAAATCTTTTCTATACCTTTCAGAAGTTTAACAACATCCTTCCTATAGGCAGAGTGGCAAGATTTGTTTGCAGTATTCTAAAAGTGCCCTTACCAATGTCCTGTATAGCTGCAACATGACATCCCAAATACCATACTCAATGCACTGACAATGAAGGCAAGTGGGTCAAATGCCTTATTCACCATCCTGTCTACCCTAACTCCACTTTCAAGGTACTATGTACCTGTACCGTGAGGCCTCTTGTTTGGCAATACTCCTCAGGGCCCTTTCATTAATTGTACAAGTCCTGCCCTGATTTGCCTCACCAAAATGCAACACCTCACATTAATTTGAAGTAAACTCCACCTGCCATTCCTCAGCACATCAGTCCATTTGATCAAGGTCCCATTGTGCTGAGAAAACCTTCTACACTGTCCACTACACCACCAATTTTGATGTCATCAGCAAACTTACTAACCATTCCTCCTATATTCACATCCAAATCATTTATATAAATGACAAAAGGCCATGAACCTAGCACTAATCCTTGCAGCACACCGCTGGTCACACAGTCCAAAAACCAACCTTCCACCACCACCACCCTCCTTTGCCTACCTTCAAGCCAATTTTGAATCCAAATGGCTCTCTTTCTGGATGTGATCTAACCTTGCTAACCAGTCTACCACGAGGGACCTTGTCAAACGCCTTGCTGAAGTCCATATTGACAATGCCCAACATTCTGCCTTCATCAATCTTCTTTGTCACCTCTTCAAAAAACTCAAATGAGTTAATGAGACACTTTCCCACGCCCAAAGCCATGTTGACAATCCCAATCAGTCCTTGGCCTTTCCAAATATATGTAAATCCTGTCCCTCAGAATCCCCTCCAACAACTTACCTGCCACTGAAGTCAGGCTCACTAGTCTACAGCTGCCCGACTTTTCCTTATCACCATTCTTAAATAATGGCACCACATTAGCCATGCTCCAGTCACACAAATATCTCAGCAAGAGGCCCAGCAATCATTTCCCTAACTTCCCACAAAGTATGAGGATACACAATATCAGGTCCAGAGGATTTATCCACCTTTATGCATTTTAAGGCGTCCAGCACCACCTCCTCTGTTAATATGGACATTTTTCAAGGTATTGCTATTTATTTTTCTAAGTTCTCTAGCTTCCATATCCTTTATTCACAGTAAATATGGACACAAAATACTCATTTAGTTTCTCACCCATCGTCTACATTTCCACACAGACGGCCTTGTTGACCTTTAAGAGCCCTATTCTTTCCCTGGTTACTGTTTTCCCTTTTATGTATTTGTAGAATCTCTTTGGATTCTCCTTAACCCAATTTACAAAAACTCTCCAATATCCCCTTTTTGCCCTCCTGATTTCCCTCAAGTTTACTATTTCCCTCGAGTATACTTTCTTCCTAACTTTCCCCATGCAAGGGTTGAAACGTCTTCAGAGAATTGCAATTGTTGTGCAGAATATTTAAAAATAGAATAACCTGGAGGAAAGAAATCAATAAAAAAAAACTTGCCTCATATTTCCTTTTAAGCTTTCCTCCTCTCACCTTAAACCTATCCACTTTACTGTTTGAAATTTCCACTGTATCTATGCCTGTCATACTTAAATCAGACAACTGCATATCTGGGTACACACAATAATTCTCAGCATCAGACTGAACCACAAGTGTTGCTTTAAACATACTGAAATATGCTCAATTATGTTTCTGCTAGAGACATCCCTCATTGTTGCCACAAGGAAAGGCACTTGTCACACATGTCTGTTACAGCTAACTTGGAATGGGGCAGCCAAAGATGCTGGCTGAGAATGAATTAACTATGACTACTATCATAAAGTCAGACAGGCTGTTTTGCATGATCGTCTGCTTGTGTTATCAAACAAGCTGGACATCAATTTGAATGGAATCACTTTCTATTAAAGGTGATGCCAGGATTAATTCTGTACTGCAGCAAAAAAAAGTGAATACACGACATAGTGTAGAAACACAGCCTCATGGAAGAAACCAATTAAAACTGTGTCAGGTCTTTGAGAGGATCAATGCATGCTGCAACTTTAATTTTAAATTTAAAATAATTATTTAATGTAAAACTTTCATCTCTTATCAGACAATTGTTAGATATTCTGAAACTACAACAGACAAGCTTGAGTTACAACACTCCACAGCATTAGTAAAATTATCTTGACACAGCATAGTTAGGAACATAATTCATCCAGAAAAGTTATCAAACACAGGTACCAATGAAAGGTGATTGTGCATTAGCAATGATAAAACCTCATCAATTCATAGGGTCAATTAAGCATGCATTAAAATTGGAAAGTCAGGAGACACGGGGAACAACAGAGAGCTCATAGTTTTCAAATCTAAACTAATGATTGCTTTGACTTAAGTATTAACAAAATGCCTCCCCACTATCACTGTTGCATGATGTGATTACAGTCTTCATGCTTAGTTTTTATACATTCTTTGCAACTAAGTCTTTTCAACTCTGTACAGATCTGTATAACAATAAACAATCATAAGCAGGGTAGTAAAATCTATATATACTATGCAAATTAGTTAGTTCCAACTTGTGACGGGCCAGGTTTCCACTATTTGAATTAGAACGTGGAACAGCAAATATGTTAAAATACACAAAGTTTTGAAGAACATTTGATTAAAAACTGACAAGTAATATGATCAGTGTGTAAAGATAATTTTAACTCAGTAGTGTCTTTTGAAGGTAAAAGCAAAGGTAAAGTTATATTGGAATATGCCATTTAAAAACAAAATTCAAATGGAATTTGTTTTATAAACACGTGTAAAAGCAAAACAAATTACCAGATTATTTCAGTACTCAAATCATTGATCAGCTAAGTACATGAATTTTAGTTTTGCCCATTGTCTTTTTTCGCGATTGCTTATTTCACAATGGTTTTAATACAATTATATACATACATAAAAATCCACTGGCCTCTTCTATACATGAACAAGGCACAATCTGTGCATATCTAGTATGGTGCTCCAATGTTAGTAGATATTTGGATATCAGAATATAATTTCTAACCTAGATAGGTGAAGGATATTTTTTATTGGGGGAAGAGGAGGAAAGTTGTAAAAAAATGGTTAAAAAGAGTACTAACCCAGCTTCATTGACAAACTAATTGAAAAATAAAACTACACCATCACAGATGGCACAGACAGGACAAGCTGCACAATGAAGACAAGTGTTCCATCAAGAATGCTGCAAGGTCATAATGCAGCACTAATTGAAGTCAATAATTCATCCATTCTCAGCAGTACAATATGGTCAGTCAGATGACTTCTGTTGAAAATATGAAGAGATCTTGCGTGTAGAAGCTTGAGTCTGTTGAATTACAAAAAAAAAGTTTATTGTGACAAACTTTGCCAAAATGAAGTACAATTTCTGGGGAGTAATAGTTTGTACATGGAAGGGAAATTAATCACCATCTGTCTTGCTTTGAGGTCATTAGTTTAAATGGAGCATGCCAACATTAGCCAATTGATTTGACTGAGGCAAAGCATACAAGGGTTTCTAATGGTTAGCAGTTCATGTCCAGATGCAGGAAAACCTCGAGAACAGTGCGGTTTGGGCAGACAGAAGTGATTTGCCATTAATGAAATTACTGTGACATTCAACAGGCACCCGCACAAATCAACATCCTGGAGATTATCAAAGAACAGAATTGCACCAACCATATTAATAGTGACTACAAGAGCAGGTTAGTGACTGGAAATTCCGTGTTATATAACCTCCTGACTCCTTTGCACCATTTGAGAGGCACAAGTTACCAGTGTGATGGAATGCTGTCCACTTGCCTGGATGAATGAAGCTGCAACAACACTTAACAAGCTTAACACCATTTAGGGCAAAGCTTAATTTGCACCCCATCCAATTAATCACGGAATTGTTGCAGAGCAGAACACCATTCAACCCATCACATCTGCACTAGCACTCTGAATAAGTGATTCATTTAATTCTGTTCTTTTGCCTTCTCCCCATAGCTTGAATGTTATTATTTGTAAGTGAACAGTCTAATTTCCTTTTGAAAGTCTCAATTGAACTGGTCTTCTCCAAATACTCCGGTATTGCAATCCAGATCTTAGTCACGCTTTTCATGAAACTTCTCATATTGGTTTTGCCTAATAATTTATTCCTTCCACCACTGCATGGTGGCAGCAGTGTGCGCCACCTGCAAGTTGCAAATGCAGCAGTTCATCAAGGATCCCTCCAAGTCCATAACCTTAACAACCAGAAGAACAAGGAAGCACCATCACCTGCAAGCTGCCTTCCAAGATTCATAAAGTCAGAGTTAGAAATAGATCAGTATTCCTTCAACATAGTCAAAACCCAGCAGCACCCTCCCCAACACTGAGAATTTCAGTGGAGGTGGCTCACTACCATCTTTTCAAAGTCAATTAGTAATGGGTGATAAATGTCACTCTTGCCAGTGACACCCACATTACATGGACAAATAAGAAAAAGTAATTGACTTGAGGAACTCTGCTTCGTTTCTGCATATGATTGATTTAAAAATATGGAGGACAAAAAGGCTGTTCATACACAGGTGAAATTAGATATTATTCAACAGCTGGTCAACTATATGAATTACACATCAGAATAATGTGCTCTATAATTTTTTACTATTAATAATTCTGAGGGAGAGGAAGTGCAATTGTGAAAGACGTTTGAACTAATTCTGAGTGACTCAGCAAGTTTTTACCTCTCTGAGGAGATCTTAATTCGGATTCTTAAACGTGCAGACAGCATTTGGAAAGGAGCATCATTAGTGGCTGTGAATTATGAATGAACAAAAGGAAGAAACCCTCATGCAGGATTACCACATTAAGAGTTTCAGATAGCAAACTGGACAATGAAAATCTACTTCAAACAAAAACAACAGTACCTTCTGAAAGTTAACCAAAGCCTAAAACCAAATGAGAGCATTGGAAGCCTGCAACTTGAACATGCCAGTGTTTTTTTGAAATTATTGTTCAGCCCTACTTACCCTTGAGAAGGTGGTGGTGAGCTGCCCTCTTGAACTGGTGCTGTAGGTAGACCCACAATGCTGCTAGGGAAGGAATTTGACGATTTTGACCAGTGACACTGAAGGAACAGTCATGTATTTCCAGGCCAGGATGTCAAGCATCCTGGAGGGGAATATGCAGATAGTGCTACCCTTTTCCTTCTAAATGCAAGTGGTTGTGGGTTTGGAAGGTGCTGTCTAAGGATGCTTGAAGAACTTCTGCAGCGCATATTATAAATAGTACACATTGCTGCTACTGAGCATCGGTGGTGGAAGGAGTGGACGTTTATGGTGCTAATCAAGTGGGCTGCTTTGTCCTGGATGGTTTCAAGCTTCTTGAGAGTTACTGGAGTTGCACTCATCCAAACAAGCGAGAAGCATTCCATCATACTCCTGACATATACCTTGTCGATGATGGACAGGATTTGGGGAGTCAGCAAGTGAGTTACTCACCTCTGTATTCCTAGCCTCTGACCTACTCCTGTAGCCACTGTGTTTATGTGGCAAGTCCAATTGAGTTTCTGGTCAGTTGTAACCCTAACAACGTTGATCGTGTAGAAGTCAGTGATGGTAACACCATTGAGTGTCAAGGAGTAGTGTTTAGCTTGTCATTTATTGGTAATGGTCATTGTCTGGCATTTGTGTGGCACGAATATTACTTGCACCTTATCAACCCAAGCTTGGACATTCCATATCTCATTGCATTTGAACGCAGACTGCTTTGGTATCGGAGGAGTCATGAATGGTGCTGAACATTGTGCCATCATTAGCAAACACTCCACTTCTGACCTTATGATGGAGGGAAGGTTATTGATGAAGCAGCTGAAAATAGTCAGTCCGAGGTCACAACCCCGAGGAACTCCTGCAGGGATGTCCTGGAGCTGAGATGACTGACCTCCAACAACCACAACCATCTTCCTTTGCGCCAGGTATGATTTCAATCATCAGAATCCCCCCAACCCCCGATTCCTGTTAACTCCAGTTGTAGTACAGCTCCTACAGTCAAATGCGGCCTTGACATCAAGGGCTGTCACTCTCACCTCACCTCTGGAATTCAGCTCTTATGTCCATGTGTGGACCAAGGCTGCAATGAGGTCCGGAGCTGAGTGGCCCTGGCAGAACCCAAACTGGGCATCAATGATCAGGTTATTGCTGAGCAGGTGCTGTTTGATTAACACGGTTGATGATACCTTCCATCACTTTACTGATGATCAAGAGCTGACTAATGGGGCAGCAACTGGCCACATTGGATTTGTCCTGCTTTTTGTATACAGGATGTTGCCTGGGATGGAGCAGTTTAGCTATGAAGAGAGGTTGCTTAGGCACAGGTTGTTTTCTTTAGAGCAGAGAAAGCTGAGGGGGGACCCAAGTGAGGTGTATAAGATTATGAGGGGCACAGACAGGGTGAATAGAAAGTATTTGTTCCCCTTAGTTGAAAGGTCAATAATGAGACAGCATAATTTTCAGGTAAAAGTCAGGGGGTTTAGAGGGGATTTGAGGCAATTTTGTTTTTAACCCACAGTGTGGTGGGAATCTGGAAGGCACTGCCTGGAGGGTAATTGAGGCAGGAAACCTCACAATCCTTAAGTAGTTCAAGGATGAGCACTTGAAATATCATAAAATTCAAGGATATGAGCCAAGTGCAAGAAAGTGGGATCAATGTAAATATGTTGGTGCAGACTTGATAGGTCAAAGGGCCTCTTCTGTGCTGTATGACTTTATGACTTATGAAGTTTATTTCACAATCACAATTCCAACACGTGGACCCATTAAAATCTAGCAGAGCACTGCGATAAATGACTTACCGGTGAGCCTGTTGTCCTTTCTTCCCGTTTCTTTAGTGGTGGACTCTGTGAGGATGCAGGACTGTTGGATGATCTCCCCATCCTAATGTTCATTTCAGTTTTCTGTTTGACCCCCAGATCTGTAAGCCAGTTTGACTTTTGAGGAGAACTGTTTTCTTTGTCGTGCATCTCAAGTTTCTGGATGCATTGAAACTTGCAGACAGAAGAAGTAGCTGGATTGGGGAAAGGGCTTGCCGGAGTTAAATTTTCCCCAGTGTTACATTCACAGCATTTCATCTCTGTATCTTCTACGCATTCATTCGATGGGCTTTTCCTACTGTACTCCTTTAAGCAGAAGATACCAACTTTGCATCTTTTAGAAACGGGGCTGATTCCTGAGACAATGCCGTTGTCGTCATTCTTCCAACTGTTTCTTACTGACCCATCACTGGTGTCCAATCTCCTTTTAACTTTCTTCTCTAGAATCTGGTTACTTACAGTGACTGAGACATTCTTCAATTGACATTGTTCAACTGGAACCAACACACCCCTGGGTGAAGTATCAGGGACATCAGGGGAGGAGTTAGGAGTGCTCGGACTCTTGACAATCCACTTCTTGATCGACATTTTCCTAGAGGCTGAATTTGGAGAAGTTGAACTTGTTTGATCCATCTGATGTGATCTGCAGTTCTTGCCCAAGGCCCTTTGAGCCCCAGAGGTGGGTGTGCTGGAAGAGAGAGGCAAACCTCCAGAGACATTAGGGGCACATGCAGCTTGCTGTGATGACAGCAGCTTTGGACCTTCTATCACTGGAGATTTAGGAGGAGTAGTATTTTGTATTGGTTGACTGACAGCATCTGGTAAAAGCAAGATTTTAACACTTAGTGAGATTTAAAATTTGAAAATTAACATAGGAACTGTCACTGAAGTATGCTAATGTATAAACTTTACAGATACCTTTGTCATTTTATCAAAAAAAAAATCCTGGAATGTACCTCTAAGTCCATAAGCACGATGTGTCCATAAATACTTATACAATCTTGTGCAAATTGTTGGCAAAACTCATCTCTGCTGGCACAACAATTCATAACATAACTCTCAATTTAGTTAAAGACTTTTTCTATGCATTTCCATATTCATATTTTCTGTTCAGCTTGGTAAGTTACAATAAAGTAGTCCCAACTGCATGTTGATCAATTCAGCATTTAATGTTTCATTTCTGTTCAAATAACCACTTCCCTCTCCACCATGGCAAATGGTATCTAAACTACATTACAATCAAAACAATTAAGATACAAACAACTATGGGAACTCAAAAACCTCATTCTCATCATGATAGTGCCCAAAATATTTAAAAATTGAAAAAATAATTTGTGATAAAAACATACAAAAGTGCAAAAGTACATGAAATAAGACAGCACATGGAGAAAGACAGGTTAAGTATTTTCAGAACAATGCTACTGGTCACTGTTAAAACATTAACCTAGTTTTCTATTTCATGTGCTGAATAATCTGCAGTTTATTACAAACAGCATCTATTTTTAGAAGTTTTGAAAGCACTGGTTTTGTTTAGCATAGTTGCCCAAGGCAACGTCTACTCTCCTGTCAATGTTCTTTCATCACATACAGGGTTGATGAGTTACATTTCAGTGGTTGTCCATATATACACATGAACAACATCTTAGGGGTTATCGTTGACCAGAAACCAAACGAGACCAGGCTAATGCACGACAGCAATGTGTACACCATTTATAAGATGCATGACAACAATTAACCAAGGCATTTTAGGCAGCACTTTCAAATTTGCAACTTCTAGCATTTTGAAGGAGAAGGGCAATAGATGCATGGGAGCAGCACGACCTGCAAATCTCCTTCCAAACAATATCCCTGCCTAACAATATTGTTCTTTCACTGTCACTGGGGTCAAAATCCTGGAACGTCCCACAGGACTGTGGATGTACCTACACTCCATGAATTGCAGCGATTCATAAAGGCAGTTCACAACCACCTGCAAGGGCAGTTAGGAATGGGCAATTAATGGTGGTGTGGTCAATGACACTTACATCCTGTGAAGGAGTAAATAAAAAAACAGTTCAAATCATGCTATTACCATACGTAAGGCTATGTTCTCAAATTCCTTGTGCACCTCTTTTCTCACCTTTGTCAAAATGCTTCTTCTGGCACGCGGTTCCCACCAAATCTGATCTCGCTACACCCATTTTTCGAACAAGGCGCCATATTCGGACAGTATTGTCATCAGAACAAGTGGCAATCTAAAAGGAGGCAGAGAAATACAATTACTACTCCAGAATGCTTGAAGCTTTTTGATGCATAGATGTACAGGAAAGGCTTTGAGCAGAAAGTGCTTTTATTTTTGCACCTGAAAACCGACCTTCACAATTAATCATTTTAGCTATTACAATGGAAACCTTTTTCAGTTTTGGGGTATTCTTAAATCTAAAAAAAAACCCATTACTGATAAAGCCAAAATCATACAAGATAATTATGTTTCCATAAAGACCAAATTAAAGACGCACCAACAAAACCAACCATCTCCAGGCAAGATTCAAATACTACAAGTTTACTCCTGCACCACATATTAAGGTACTAATTTTGTTACGGCTAACAATTAGCTGATCAAATACTTTTGGTGAAATTTAGCAGAATCACTTAACTTCTATACTATCCCTAACTAGCTCAAATGTGAACTGAACAATTTACAATCCTGTGTAACTGTGATGTCAATTCCAACAAATAATAGGACCAGTGTGAACTTATATATTTCAAAAAGTAATGTTACATACTTGACAAGTGAAAAGGCTGCAAATTTTCAAAACAGTAATTATGTTGATGATTTTACTCAAAGTAGTTGACCCAGATCCTTAAATTTAGCTAAGTTTCAAAGAGTCATACATCTCAGAAATAGACCCTTTCATCCAACTCGTCCATGCTGACCAGATTTCCCAAACTAAACTAGTTCCATTTATCTGTGTTTGGCCCATATATCATCATCAATAACATACTTCCCCTGATAATCTGGAACAATCAAATAGCATCTAAAAAGCGAAATGTCCAGTGACTTCCCCTTTAAATAGGAACAAATCACCAGCATACATACTGACCTTTGAGAAGTCTGAAGGGCACCAAGCCACACAGGTCACCTCCTGACTGTGTCCCTGGAGCACTGTTGGAGGATGATGAGGGTCAGAGACCTGAAATAATGAGAACTAGAATTAAATTGATTTGCAATAAGGCTAGATAATTCAACAAGCCAAACATCATTTGTTGTATTATTGCTGAGTTTGATTAGGTCTCATTGATGTAATTGTAAACCGCAGATTGTGATCAAGTCAGTCCTCAGTGGGACAATTTCTAATGATGGTATTGCAACTCAGACTCAAATTATTATTACGAAGTTGTCCGAAGTAGTTGTAACTGTGACTCAAAATGCTACAGCACAACAAAACTTTCACATCAGTTTAAACTGGAATGCTGCCAAACAGATTCCAGCACGGATTAGGAACGTGGACCATATTATTGTGCCAGGTAATGCACTAAGTTTTAGTGATAAGACAACAGAATTTGGCAATTCTCAGTTCAAACTTCCTTCCATTTGGCCAGTCTGGCTCAGGCAGTTTCACATGATTACAAAAAGAAGGATAAGTGACAATAGATCATGAAATTATCCATCAACACAGGAGATTACAAAAAGTGTTTGGAATTGATCTGTTGTAGAGAAAAAGGTTTCCTGCTACACCAATCTAATCTGGAACTGCACAACTCGCTGAAAGCTGTTGCAACAAGTTCAGCAGTTGCTCTATCTCTCTTCCCTTTCTTGTGGTGATTGCAATAAAGTATTCTATAAAACCTTCACTGTGATGAAAAACAATTACTGAAGGCATTACAACCAAGCCAAATTCTGTTTTCATCTATTGTACCTGGGATAACTTTCCCAAAGTAATTGCCTAGCATACTGGATCAGCAATCCCAACTAATATTTCTCTGCCTTAACACCAGAAACTGAGGCTGCGTACAAGCACAGTGCTGCCCCAATTAGGATCAGCTAACACAGCACAGTAAAGTGATCATAACTGTGTGCCTCCTGGTTCATTACATTCGGCTTTTCACTTCCAAATGTGTGATCAGAAGGTACCTGACGGTTCTGGCTAAGTACTGGTTAAACTCTCGCATAGAATAGCAGCTATCGCTTCAAAATGGAATTGCATTACCCAAGACGATAATTGGTTTTATGCTTTGAGGCACTGAGAGAAGATTGTTGAGCATGAAGTTAGTGTCAATTTAATAGACCTAAAACAGTGAAGCTTGAGCTGCAGGAAATCATCACACCACATAAACCTCTTTTCCCTTTTGTATTCTTTTAATGAAACAATCACAGGAAGATTCTCACTCTCCTACAATAGTTTTGCAGGTTTTCAGTATCCTGATGAGTCACCCTTCAACTCAGTGGACACTGATGTGACAGTTAATAGATTGGCCGTTGCAATGAACTCAAACAGGAAAAACCCACCAGGTTTTGAGTGAGTATTGGGTACAAAATATTTTAACCAAATACTTGGGCAAATTCAAGCAAAATCCTTAAGTTGAACCTAGGCTTTACTAGAATTTGACAAAGTACTAATACATAAACACTGAAACCAAACAAAATTTTGATCCTGAATTAAATACAGTATCCCAGAATCATGGCAGAGCCTGTTACAAGCCAAAGTCTAGAAAAGATCACTATCATTACTCTCTATTTGAGAGAAACAATTAATTATGTATAGCTTTGAGTATAATCACTCCACAAGCTGGTAAGGGGATTTACTAAATATTAAATTCTAGTCAATTAACTGACCCCTGTGGAAGAATAAAGGAAAAATAACTGTTAGTCGAGCACCGCTTCTAGTGATATCAATGAAGATGCCTATGAAGTCAGTACAGGTAATGGCTCACTGTGCTGTCTGCCCCTGTGAAATTGACATAATTTCATCCAATGAATCCGGTTACACCTAACATTGTAATAATTGTCCCAATTCAGCCACCCGAACTGGAGGTGTGTCCAGTTCTGGACACCCCACTTTAGAAGGATGTGAAGGCATTGGACATAGTACAGAAAACATAATGATTCTTGGGATGGGAGACTTCAGTTGTGAGGGTAAATTTGGAGAAGTGGGACTTTTTCTTAGAAAAGGTGATCGAGGCCAGATTTTGTAAGGGTTTTCAAATTCATAAGGGGTCTGGACAGAGTAAATAGGGAGAAACTGTTCCTGTTTTCAGTGAGGTCAAAAATAAGAGTTAGAAAAAAATATAAAATTATTTGCAAAAGTGTCAAAGATAAAATGGGGAAGAAATAAAAACATTTACGCAGCGAATAGATAGGATCTGCAATGCAGAGTCTGCGAGCATGTTGAAGGCAGTTTCAATCGTGACTTTCAAAAGAAAATTAAAATGATTTAAAGAGGAATGATTTAAGGGCTTAGAAGGAAAACACAGAAGAACTGTGCCAGTCAAGTTGTTCTTGCAGAGATCCAACTACAGTGGCCTCATTCTACACAAATCTAACATAATGTCCCCAGCTAATAGTCCTGACCTATGTAGTTAACTATCTGATTACAGTACTTCCAAAGTGGTAGCAGATACACTATAATGCACCACAGCATTCTTTGGCTTATGAGTGTGAGGGAGCAAGCAAACAAGATTCCCACTCTTAATCAGGATTCATGAGTTCCTGCTGAAAATGAAGTATTCTTTGCAGATTGAAGAGTGTTGTTTCATCAAGTGTTGCACCTATTTCCACTTCCAACTGCACAGCCACTTACCTTCCATATATAGGCATTATGGTCAGTGGACCCACTAAGGAGGAATTGATCATCCAGACTGAGATTGGCCTTAATATAGAAGGTGGAGTTCTGGTGACCACTGAAGGTTGCCACTATATAAAACATAGAGCAAATCAATAAAAGGAGAACAAAGAAATTTCGCAAGTTAAGATCTGACCCACTTGGTGTAATTTAACATCAGATTTTAGGTCTTAACTTATTGGAAATTTTGAAAACATGCAAAATAGGTCAAGAAGGTGAAGAATAATAATTGTCCTTATTTCTGTACATTCCTCTCGAGTTTGCATTCTCCCTCAATGGTACAAAGTCTTTAATTGTTGTCTTGTCTGTGACCCTGAACTTGCTAAATGGAGTCATATTATACATTAGAGGAAAGTATAATACAAACTCATTGAACTGTGCCTATACGTCCTCACATGGTTATGTCTAATTTCACACAGGACAGTCAAGGCAAATCAAGATTTTCATTGGGAATGCAGCTAACAAAATGATGTCATTTACTATGGCGAGAACCTTGAAAATGTCAACATTGTCAGCAACTGATATGGAACAAATCTTCGACTTGTTCCCTCAGCCAGCTGATATCAGACACAGGGAAACTTCAGGAAAAGTCAAAAAAGGACACAGCCTGTAAACTTTGCCTCAAGTACAACTAACTCTTTTGCTCATTGATCAAGAACTTAAGATCACAAGACAAACATAAAATCCTCAACACAAACAGATTATTGTGTGATTTATATTAATACTGTATGTGGGGCTTTATTGTACATAAACTGCTCCATTTCTTTAAATAATTTATTTGTAATTTCTAATGTAATTTGCATTTTTAGATATGATGAGATCACAAAATGGATTACACAAATTAAATGTTTTTTTAAATTCACGTTGCAATTCTCACCTTGGTGTGCAGCTGTTTGACTTTGCATGAATCTCAGAATTGTGGTGGAAATCCTGAACTCATGCTAGAGGGACACCTGGTGAAGGAACATCTCAATGTGTCTGTACTCCAGTGTCAGTTTGGCCTAGGTTTCCATTAAATTCTTTGCACCAACACTAATTGAAGTTTAAATAGACCCTATTTGTTAGTTTGAAGCAAGTCATTCATTTGAAGAATGTTTAAGTAAGGCCTACAAGGGGGTTTATGGACATAATAAAATTATAATAGCATCTACATACGATCTTTTGATATGAAAAGTGCTAAAACACTTTGCATTTTTACTTTATAAAGTGCAGACAAGTTGGAAACATAAACAGTTGCAGATACACACTTTCTACAAAAATAATCTAGTTCATAATTTTAAAGAAGAAAAAATAAAATTACGAAGGGAAAAGCAACATTACGGAGTTTTAAGTAAAGTAAATCTAAAAGCTCCTTTTCACCCTCTCACCACAAGTGCTTTGGACAATCACTCACTTACCTGGTACAGTCTTCAGGCCAGTCACATTAAACATGTAAATGTTATCATCGGTGCAGTTTGCAAAAAGATTGGAGCCTTTTGAATCCAAGACAACATTGGAGTACCCTAAAATGTGAACAAATTGAAGTTCCCTAATTATTTTAGGAAATTGTTTAAAACCTAATTTAAACACAGTCAAAAACTAATTCTAACTACAACTGAATCAACTAATGCTTGCACACAACTCAAATTTGTCAGGCTTCACAAACAGAACGACTGCAATTAAAAAACGAAAGAACTGCAGATGCTATAAATCAGGAACAAAAACAAAGTTGCTGGAAAAGCTCAGCAGGTCTGGCAGCAGCTGTGACGAAAAAACAGAGTTAACGTTTCAGGTCCGGTCATGAACATGAAACACAGTGTAAAATCTGCCATGTGCTGATCTGAACGTGAAAATATAAAGGACTTTAACTGCAGTCAGAAAAACAGAGTTAACGTCGCGGGTCCAGTGACCCTTCTGAGGAAGGGTCACTGGACCCGAGACGTTAACTGTTATTCTGACTGCAATTAAGGTCCTTTATATTTTCACGTTCAGACCAGCACATGGCAGATTTTACATTCAGCGTTTCATGACATGAAGTATGTTAGTATTTTACTTCTGCAGGACTTGCTTCCTGCCACTGCTATTTGAATGATGACAGCCGGTGAGAGTACAGTCATACAGCATGGAAACATATCCTTCGGTCCAACCAGTCCATGCCGAAGGTAATCCTAGACTAAACTAGTCCCACCTGCCTGTTCATGGCCCGTATCCCTCCAAACCTTTCCTATTCATATATCCATCCAAATGTCTTTTAAATGTTGTAATTATACCCGCATCAACCACTTCATCAGGAATGACCCTCTGTGTAAAAAAATTTGCCTCATGTCTTTTTAAATCTCTCTCCTCTCGCCTTAAAAATATGCCCCCTTGTCTTGAAATCCCCCATCCTAGGGAAAAGACAACTACCATCAACTCTATCGACACCTCTCATTATTTTATAAACTTCTATCAGGTTACCTTTCAACCTCCAGTACTCCAGTGAAAACAGTCCCAGCCTATCCTTATACCTCAAATCTTCCATACCCAGCAACATCCTGATAAATCTCTTCTGAACCCTCTCCAGCTAGATAATATCCTTCTGATAACTGGGCGACCAGGACTGGACACAGTGTTCCAAAAGAGGCCTCACCAATGTTCTGTACAACCTCAATATAATGTTGCAACTCCTATTCTCAAAGGACTGAGCAATCAAGGCAAGCGTACCAAATGCCTTTTTAACCATCCTGTCTATATGTGATGCAAACTTTAAAAAATTATGTACCTGCACCCCTAGGTCCCTCTGTTCTACAACACTGCCCAAGGCCCTACCATTAACTGTACAAGCCCTCTTCTTGTTTGTTGTGTCAAAATACTTCACATTTATCCAGGCTGAAGTCCATCTACCATTTTTTCAGCCCATTGACCCCCTTGATCAAGATCCCTTTGTAATCTTTGAAAACTTTCTTCACTGTCTACAATGCCACCAATTTTGGTGTCAGCTGCAAATTTACTAACCATTATTTTCATGTTCTCATCCAAATCATTTCTATACATGACAAACAAAAGAGGACCCAGAACTGATCGTTCTGGAACACCACTGGTCTCAGGCCTCCAGTCCATATAGCAACCCTCCACCTCTCTGACTCTGCTGTTAAGCCAATTATGTATCCAGTTGGCAACTCAACCTGAATCCCATGTGACCTAACTTTACTAATTAGTCTACCATGCGGAACCTTGTCAAAGGCTTTACTAAATTCCAAATAAACAAACGTCTACTGCTCTGCCATCATCAACCGTTTTAGTAACTTCCTCAAAAAACTCAATCAAGTTTGTAAGACATGATTTTCCTCACACAAAACCATGCTGACTATCCCTAATAAATTTTTGCCTCTCCACATGTCCACAAATCCTATCTTTTATAATCACTTCCAACAATTTACCCACAACCGAAGTCAGACTCACAGGTCTATAGTTTCCCAATTTGTCCTTACAACCTTTCTTAAACAAAGGTACAACATTAGCCACCCTCTGGTCATCAGGCACCTCACCTATAGTTACAGATGATACAAATATTTCTGCAAGGGGTCTCAATTTCAGCTCTTACTTCCTACAATGTTATGGGATACATTAGATCAGGTAACGGAGATTTATCCATCTTTATATTCTCTAAGACTTCCCAAACTTCCTCTTCTGTAATGTGAACGGTTCTTAAAACATCAAAGTTTAATTCTCTGCATTCTCTCGACTCCATTTCTTTCTCCACAATAATAACTGACGCAAAATTTTCATTTAGTATCTCTCCCATCTCCTGGGGTTCAACACAAAGAAGACTTCCTTGATCTTTAAGAGGCCCAACCCTCTCTCCAGTTGCCCTCTTGCTCTTAATGTATGTGTAGGATCTGTTTGGATTATCCTTAATCTTATCTGCCAATGCTATCTCATATCCCCTGTTTTCCTTTCTGATTTCTCTCTTAAGAATGCCCCTACACGCTTTATATTGATTAAGACATTCAATTGAACTAAGTTGTCTATATCTAAAAAAATTTCTCTTTTATTCTTGATTAGAACCTCAATATCTTTATTCATCCATTATTCCTTAATCTTACCAGCCATACCCTTCACTCTAACAGGAACAGAATGCTTCTGAACTCGTCATCACTTTATTGAAAGCCTCCCACTTGTCAGACATCCTTTTATCTGCAAACAGTCTACTCCAATCAACATTTGAAAGTTCGTGTCTCATACCATTAAAATTTTCCTTACTCCAAATAAAAACTTGAACTTTTATGGAGGCTTATCCTATTTCATAACCATTTTGAAACTAACAGAATTATGATCACGAGACCCAAAGTGTCCCCCCACTTCTACTTCAGTCACCTGCCCTGCTTTATTGCCCAAAAGAAAGTCTAGTTTTGCTCCTGCTCTAGTAGCAGCATCCACAAATTGATAAAGAAAATTTTCTTGAGCACATTTGACAAAATTCTTCTCCATCCAAACCTTTAACACTATGGTAATCCCAGTCAAATGTTTGTAAAATTAAAATCTCCTATTATTACAGCCTTATTGTGTTTACATATATCGGAGATTTCCTGATACATATTTGTTTCTCAATTTTTTTCTTACTGTCAGGGAGCCTATAGTACCATCCCATCAAAGTGATCTTTCCTTTCTTATTTGTAATTTCTACCCAGTACATTTTCACTGGAGGATTTTTCAGAACTATCTTCCCTAGTTATAGCAGTAATGTATTGTAATGTATTCCTTAATCAAAAACGCCACCCACCCCCCACCCCCCACTCCCCACTCCCCACTCCCCACTCCCAACCCTTTCTTGCCTCCTTTTTTATCCTTCCTGGAGCATCTAAAACTGGGAACATTGAGCTTCCAGTTTCGTCCATGTCTCAACCAAGTTTCAGTAATAGCTATGACGTCTCAATCCCATGTTCTTAAACGTGCACAATTGAAATGTGGAGCTTGTTCAAGGAACAGCTACCGCATGTCCTTGAGAAGTATGTACCTGTCAGGCAGGGAGGAAGTGGTCGAGCAAGGGAACCGTGGTTTACTAAAGAAGTTGAATCTCTTGTCAAGAGGAAGAAGGAGGCTTATGCAGAGATGAGGCGTGAAGGCTCAGTTAGGGCGCTTGAGAGTTACAAGTTAGCCAGGAAGGACCTAAAGAGAGAGCTAAGAAGAGCCAGGAGGGGACATGAGAAGTCTTTAGCAGGTAGGATCAAGGAAAACCCTAAAGCTTTCTATAGGTATGTCAGGAATAAAAGAATGACTAGAGTAAGATTAGGGCCGGTCAAGGACAGTAGTGGGAAGTTGTGCGTGGAGTCCGAAGAGATAGGAGAGGTGCTAAATGAATATTTTTCGTCAGTATTCACACAGGAAAAAGACAATGTTGTCGAGGAGAATACTGAGATACAGGCTATTAGACGAGACAGGATTGAGGTTCATAAGGAGGAGGTGTTAGCAATTCTGGAAGGTGTGAAAATAGATAAGTCCCCTGGGCCGGATGGGATTTATCCTAGGATTCTCTGGGAAGCTAGACAGGAGATTGCAGAGCCTTTGGCTTTGATCTTTATGTCGTCATTGTCAACAGGAATAGTGCCAGAAGACTGGAGACTAGCAAATGTCGTCCCCTTGTTCAAGAAGGGGAGTAGAGACAACCCTGGTAATTATAGACCATTGAGCCTTACTTCGGTTGTGGGTAAAGTGTTGGAAAGGATTATAAGAGATAGGATTTATAATCATCTAGAAAGGAATAAGTTGATTAGGAATAGTCAACACGGTTTTGTGAAGGGTAGGTCGTGCCTCACAAACCTTATTGAGTTCTTTGAAAAAGGTCACCAAACAGGTGGATGAGGGTAAAGCGGTTGATGTGGTGTATATGGATTTCAGTAAAGCATTTGATAAGGTTCCCCATGGTAGGCTATTGCAGAAAATACAGAGGCATGGGATTGAGGGTGATTTAGCGGTTTGGATCAGAAATTGGCTAGCTGTAAGAAGACAGAGGGTGGTGGTTGATGGGAAATGTTCATCCTGGAGTTCAGTTACTAGTGGTGTACCTCAAGGATCTGTTTTGGGGCCACTGCTGTTTGTCATTTTTATAAATGACCTGGATGAGGGCGTAGAAGGATGGGTTAGTAAATTTGCGGATGACACCAAAGTCGGTGGAGTTGTGGATAGTGCGGAAGGATGTTGCAGGTTACAGAGGGACATAGATAAGCTGCAGAGCTGGGCTGAGAGGTGGCAAATGGAGTTTAATGCGGAAAAGTGTGAGGTGATTCACTTTGGAAGGAGTAACAGGAATACAGAGTACTGGGCTAATGGTAAGATTCTTGGTAGTGTGGATGAGCAGAGAGATCTCGGTGTCCAGGTGCATCGATCCCTGAAAGTTGCCACCCAGGTTGAAAGCGTTGTTAAGAAGGCGTACGGTGTGTTAGGTTTTATTGGTAAAGGGATTGAGTTTCGGAGCCATGAGGTCATGTTGCAGCTGTACAAAACTCTGGTGCGGCCGCACTTGGAGTATTGCGTACAGTTCTGGTCACCGCATTATAGGAAGGATGTGGAAGCATTGGAAAGGGTGCAGAGGAGATTTACCAGGATGTTGCCTGGTATGGAGGGAAGGTCTTATGAGGAAAGGCTGAAGGACTTGAGACTGTTTTCGTTAGAGAGAAGAAGGTTAAGAGGTGACTTAATAGAGACATACAAGATGATCAGAGGATTAGATAGGGTGGACAGTGGGAGCCTTTTTCCTCGGATGGTGATGGCTAGCATGAGGGGACATAGCTTTAAATTGAAGAGTGATAGATATAGGACAGATGTCAGAGGTAGGTTCTTTACTCAGAGAGTAGTAAGAGCGTGGAATGCCCTGCCTGCAAAAGTAGTAGACTCGCCAACTTTAAGGGCATTTAAATGGTCATTGGATAAACATATGGATGATAATGGAATAGTGTAGGTTAGATGGGCTTCAGATTGGTTTCACAGGTCGGTGCAACATTGAGGGCCGAAGGGCCTGTACTGCACTGTAATGTTCTATGTTCTATGCCCTGAGTTCAACAGCCTTACCTCTAAGACCCCTTGCATTGAAATAAATGCAATTTAGTTCTTCAGAGCTACTACATACTCTGACTCTCTCTTTCTTGTCTAATTGACGTGCTCTCCTCACATTCAGAAGCTTCCCGATCAATCCTTTCATTAACACTGCTACTTAGAATTCCTCCACTCACCTTCTGTATCATTATAAAGTCTCCCTTAATAGAATGAGCAAGTCTCCCTGCTAAGATATTGGTCCCTATCCAGTTTCGGTTGGACCCATCTTTTTTGAACCGGTCTTTTCTATCCCAAAAGACATTCCAATTGTCTAAAAAACCTGAATCCCTGAACAATATACCAGCTCTTCAGCCATTGATTTATCTCCTTTAACCTTTTGTTCTTGCCCTTGTTGGAGTTTGGCATTGGGAGTAAACCAGACGTTACGACTTTTAAGGTTTTATTTTTTAATCTTCTACCTAACCTCTTAAATTTACTCTCTACTGCTTTAATCTTTTCCCTAAAAAAATGTCAATTTGCACAATAATTTCTGGCCTCTCAATCTCACTTTTAACAATACGCTTGAAACATTTAGAAACATCCTTAATCCAAGCACCAGGAAAACAACAAACCATTCTACATTTATGCTCACTGCCACAGAATCGCCTGTCTGTGCCCCTGAAAGGAGAGTCCCCCATAACAATAATTCTATTAAATCTTGCCAAACACTGCCTAACATAAGATCCATTCCAAGTGTCCAATGACTGACTGGCCCTTCCATTTTCCTCGGCAAGACCATCCCCTTCAACTGTTCCACAAACTGAATATCTATTTGATAGAGGAAGACTTTTGAACTACCTTATTACCTTACCTGACAGCCACCCATCTATCTGACTGATCCTGCTTGGTAATAAATCTACTAGCCATCTCATCCTGTACTTTATATATGGCCTTAATAATGTTAAGCCTATAAGAAAAATGTGTCAATATCATTTTATATATAAATCCTTTCAATACCTACAGAAAAAAAAATGCTAAAATGGAAAAATATACATATATCAAACATTAAATAAAAATCAACCAACTAGCTGATTAACTGAATAACAAAGATTCCTCTTCAATAAATTCCTCAAAAGAAAAAGAAACTCTTCTCCAGAGCTGACCATGTGTAGGACTCTCCGGAATGAAAACACACCTCTTATTTTAAAAAGAAACTGTTTTTTTCAAGAAAAAAAAGCTTTTACAATGCAAACAAAAACCCTCTAAAACACAGACTTTTTAAAAAATTTCTGAATTAAGAATAAAAAAAAACTTAGCCGTTTACTGTAGACCCTAAAAAAAGTTTTTAAAAAGTCTGTTTGAAAACAAATTGTGATTTTTTTGCTTTTTTTTAATGTTAATAAAACAAAATGGAACAAAATCTTATATTAATAAATTATAATTGCTATAATTACTGTAAAACTGTGGGAAAAAAAAACGAGAATAAATCTTTAACTAAGCCTGCAATCCCAGGAGCAGCTGCATATCCTTTGCTCCTTCAGGGGAATAAGAATGGATTCAATAATAGATTCACAACCATTCAATGAAGCCTCATACTTCTCCCAAAGTTGCACTGACAGTAAAAAGATATATACCGAGTTTCCGTGCACTGCTTCCTGGATAAGGGAAGAACTGCACAGGCACAGGATCCTGGTGATGAATGGTGTAGTTCTTCCTCAAATCCCACATCTTGATGACCCTGGAAAGTAAATAACCCATTTTTACAGATGTGACAGCGATTGAATAAACGCTGTAAGTAAATGTTAGCCTTGGCTTACTGATAGCACCATTGTCCTAGTCAAGTCCTAATGCAGAAAACAAGCTGGTAATCTAGACTGATGTTTCACTGCAGTCCCAAAGGTGCTGTCCTTCAAATGAAACATTAAACCAATATCCACTCAGAGCTCCTGGTGCTACATGAAGTAGTGCCCTGGCCAACATTTATCCCTCAAACCTCACTAAGACATATATACTTTGTCAGAATGAGAACAGTGCAACAGTGGATTGTTCAGAAGGAATTAGAGCTCCCATTTTTGTTCCAAATTCCACTTACCCATCCACTGCCCCTGCAGAGATCAAAGTCTTTTCGTCTCTAAAAATCACTACCGTTACACTCTGCTGAAAATCCTGTGGAAAAATGATAGACAACTCAGCACATGGAGTAAACCTGACCCATTTTTAACAAGAGGCTCAGCCACTGAAGCAGTGGTAATTGGAGTACCAGACAAGTGGAAAAGCAATCATACCACAGAAGGAGCAAGTCCTCGTACAGCCAGTCGCCGTTTCTTCTGTTTTGGAGGAGTCTGCTTGGCCTGCGTGTTGTGAGCACCAGTAATTTGCTTCACTTGTCTGTAAAATCCATCTAATCATAAGCAAGAAGTCTATGAATAACATTCAAACTCAGTTGTCCATCTCTCCACCGCCACCCTCCCATTCTATCTCACAATAACCACCTCAGCAGTTCATTTGTCCAAATTGCCACTCTATGTTTTCACTTAGATAGAATGAATCAGCAATCTTTTAGACTTGGGCTGGAGTGGACAACATCACAATCAAACCAGAAGAAGATCTTTGACTACCTCTTTGAAACAAAGGTTCACAGCTTTGTGTTTTGTATGACTCCATCCTACATCGACACACTGAAGAATTAAAAGCAGTGAACTTTTTTCTGTCAAGGCCACACCCTTTTTAGAATTAAAAGTTAGAGAGATGTGCTCTGTTAAACTTCATTTTATTGTAATACATGTTTCATTGTGTCATTGGTAACCATTTTAGATAGGGTTGTCATGGAAGCGCCAAGACTGATGGCAAAAGACCGGAATAATGACCAAGTGCAGGAAATAGTCAGCAGGTGTGTCTGCATCTGAACCAGACTGGGATCAGTGTTCTGCCAAGTCACATAACTAGGGCAGGAGAGGGTTTAAAGCTAAATATTGGGGGCAAAGGATCAAGTATGGGAAGATGTAATAAAATGAAGGCAGTAGACAAGGCAGCAAGGTGACAATAAGGGAAATGTGGCAAGAAGTGACTGAGCATACAAACATAGGTGTGCACAAGTAGACAATGCCAGACAGTGCAAAAATGATAAAAAGACCAAGATAAGGGCTCTGACTCTGAATACACAAACGTTTGTAAGAGAACAAAAAGTTGACAGCTCAAATTGAAATAAATGTATGTGATCTGATAGCCATTACAGAAAATAGCTACGAGACAGCAAAGTCAGAATGATAGGAAGCTTGGAAAAATGGAGGGTTCTATCCAATTATTCAGGATGAAATTAGTATAATAGGGAAAGATGACCCAAGTTCTAAAGTTCAAGATGTAGAATCAGTTTGTGCATAGACAAGTAGTAGTAGAGCCAGGAAGTCACTTATGGAAGTGATTTCTTGGCCCCTAATATTTCAGGCAGTGCAGCAAGGGGTACAGAGGAACAATGGGGCTTTTGAGAAAGATACAGTGATTATCATGGATGACTAGATCTACATTGAATCAAACTGGCAAAAGCAGCCTAGAAGATAAGTCTAGGGAGTGCTTTTTGAACAATTTCTTCAATCAGCACGTGCTGTACATAAATTGCAGAATGCATTAGACATGGTGCCACATTACAGGTTACGATGGAAAATAAAATCTCACTGTTCAAGGGCAACATTTGGCAGGATAGAGGATTGATTAGCCATCAGGAAATAGAGCAGGTATAAATGGCTAGTTTTCAGGTTGGCAAGAGTAACAAGTGGTGTGCCACAGGGATCAGTGCTGGGTCCTCAATTATTTACAATCTATTTCAATTATTTAGATGATGCCAGCAAATGTACGGTCGACAAATTTGTTAACAAACAAATTGTGAAGAGGAAAGAAGGAAAGGGGCATAGAAAGGTTAACTGAGAGGACAAAAATTTGACACATGGCACATAATGTGGAAAAATATTAACTTCTCAACTTCGGCAGAAAGAATAGAAATGTAGAATTTAATCCTAATAAGAAAGAAGAGGAGTAGGCCACTCAGCTCCTCAAGCCTAGCTCGCTATTCAATACGATCATAGTTGATAGTCCCCGTGCCTCAATTCTTTTGTACTAGCTCCACAGAGTCGTCAACTACCTCATATTAGAAAAATCTACACTCTCCTTAAATACTTTCGGTGATCTAGCCTCCACAACTCTCAAGGCTGCAGAATTCCAGACATGTACTACCCTGACAGAAGAAATTCCTTCACATATCAGATTTCAACAAGTGTTCCATATTCTGTAATCATGTTCCCTAGTCTGAGATTCTCCCACAAGTAGAAACATCATCTCAACATCCGAGCTGTCAAGCCCTCCCAGAATCTTGCATATTTGAATAAGAGCTTCATTCAGTCTTTAAAACTCAAATGAATAAAGCCCTAACCTGATTAGCCATTCTTGATAAGTCAACCTCTTAATGCCAGGAATCAGCCAAGTGAATCTCTTTTGAACTGCCTCCAATGCCAATATCTCCTTTTTTTAAAAAGTAGGAACCAAAACTGAACACAGCATTTCACGTGTGGCCTCAAGAAAAACCAATACAGTTGTAAGAAGACTTCCTTATTTTTAAATTCCAACTCCCCTTGCAATAAAGGCCATAATTCAATTTATCTTTATTTGCTGAGCCAGCATGCTAACTTTTTATGTTTCATGCACAAGAACTTACAGACCCCTCTGTGCTGCACTTTTTTAAAAATTGAGACTCTCTCTATTTAAATAATTGTCTTTTGTTTCTTCTTACCAAAGTCCATTACCTCACACTTTCCGTCAAGTTTTTGCCCACACACTCAACCTATCCAGATTCTCTTGGAGATTCCTTATGTCCTCATTACAACATACTGTGCCTCCTATTTTTGTATCAACAGCAATTTTAGATACATTACACCCTGCACCCTCCTCTAAGTCATTAGTATACACAGTAAACAATTGAGACCCTAGGATTCATCCTTGTGGCAGTCCACTAATAGGCGCACTTTGCAGAACATGGAGGCACAGAAAAATCTGGGCGTACTGGGGCATGAATCAAAGTCAGAATGAAGGCATAGAAAAATTATTAGATATCAAACGAAATTAAGTATACAGATACAGCTCCAAACAAAATGAACTACCTGTAACGAACTGGTCAGTGAACATAAACTTGGCAAAATCTAATTAAAAAACTTTCAATACATTAATCATATGTACGCATGGCACAATTGTTTATTGCCAATATATTCTGAAAGAAGTTTTTTCATAAATATTAAATGAACGTATTATCAAATTAAGTCCTGGGATCACTGTTACATTGCACAATTTACCAAGTTAAACTCAGTAAGCAAAACAAGAGTGAAAAATTCACTATGCAAAGTCTCAAAAAGTGGCTCATGCTAATATGTGGACACCAAATGAAATTGAGAGGAATGCAAGAGGAAGAACTTACACCCAGGACATTGTTAGAAAACACTCATTTAGATCTTCAAATTAGACAAGCAATTTAGAAAGAGGCCTTATGGATCCTTTTGCTGTCTGATTGAAAGAGCAATTTAATTTGTCCCAGTCCTCTCCTCTCCCTGTCTAACCCTACAAACGCTTCCTTACCTAGGCAAGTCCTGTCTCCCCATTTCATTAGTAGATGGAATCAATTCAAGTATGAAATGAAAAATTAACTACATGTAACACTTTGGAGTCAAAATCAAGAGCACATTCTGCTGGAAAATATGCAATCCACAACCATGGTACAATATATTAAGCTTGAGCCATAGAACCCCTACAGTGTGGAAGGTGGTCATTCAGCTCATTGAGTCCACACTGACCCTCTGAAGAGCATCCCCATCTAGACTACTGTATTCCCATAGCCCCACGTTTACCACAGCTAATCCAACTAGCTTACACATCCCTGAACACTGCAGACAATTTCAGCGTGGCCAATCCACCTAACCTGGACATCTTCAGACTGTGGAAGAAAACTGGAGCACCTGGAGGAAGCCTACGTAGAAACGGGGAGAATAAGCAAACTCCACATAGACAGTCATCTGAGGGTGGAATTGAACACAGGTTCCTGGGGCTGTGAGGTAGCAATGCTAACCACTGAGCCACCATGCCACTATTCAAAGTCCACAGCAGTAAATCTCAACACTCTTTAAATAAATGAATGAATTTGCAATGTTTCTTAAACGATGTTGAGAAGTGGTCATCTTAGATGAGACACATTACTAAAATGCAATATGTTATCATAAGACCATAAGATATCGGAACAGAATTAGGCTATTCAGCCCATTGAGTCTGTTCTGCCATTTGATCATGGCTGATATAATTGTCCAAGTTTACAAATGAAAAACAAGATAAATGATCAGTTTGAAGAGAATTAAATGATCTCACAGCAAATTTCAACATCACTAACTATTCTTTTCAGTTTGATTTTCAACTTCAAAGTACTTGGCTATCATGCACCTGGATTTCACCCCTCCCATCACCGCAGTTTCAGCGACCAGCAACCTAGCATTCTGAAGCAACTTCTTGCTCTAATAGGATTCTTTGGTGACTGTCACTATAAACTGGGTTCAGACCATTTAAACTCATTTTCAATAAAATCTTTACAGATAGTACAAAGGAGTCCAAGAGATAACAATTTCCCTTTCAGAAAATTTACAGTAGTTAGTTGAACTGTTTGCTTTCAAAATGTATAATTATAATTGCAAGACCAGAAGCAACTGTAGTCAACTGCAATTGTGACACAGAGCGGTCTTTATTTAATTCCACTGCTCTACTTGCAAGTTGGGCCTCAATTTCTCCCCACATTCCTGGTCAGAATTGCACATGCTACAAAAGATTCATTCACGGGTACTTCTGAAAGGATTAATGCTCTATCTGCAGCCAGCAAGGAAGAACCATATTTGGAGATTTGAATCTTCCTTTCAACATATTGACTGAATGGAATGGGGGGTCGTAATTGCAAGTAATTTCTCATGGGTGCCTCTCAAAAGATGACTACACACTTTCAATGATAGGGGTTTGGGCGAGGATGCACTAGAAACAAATGCAAATATTGGAGAAAGTCAAGGATATGGGACGCAGTGGAGCTCAAAAAGCAATACTAAACTTCTCTCATTCTCAAAATGTGTTGTGATTCCACAGCACAATGCACAGGACACTGACTCTTTACAAAATATGTTCTTTTAACTATGTTGAGGAACACCTACCTTTCTTACTGCAGCGAGTGTCCCAGACCATTATGTTACCATCTCTTCCACCAGTGCAAAATACAGCTTCAACAAAAGCAAATATAAAAAAAATTGAGTATTTTTGTTCCTTAATAAATAAAGCTTTATGGAGCAAAGCTAATTTGATATGGTACCTGTTTCCTGCTTTCCAAATGCCACAGACTTGAGGCTGCACTGGTGGCCTTTAAATGTGCCAAGGAGCTCACTCGCTTTCACATCCCAGAGTTTTGCTGTCTGATCACCTGAAGCTGTAACCTTCAAGATACACACAAAAGTACAAATGTTCAACAGTACTATTGTCACACATTTTTCTACAGAAGGAATGTACAAGGAAAATACAGTACTTACTAATTTTGGCTCTCCAGGAACCCAAGCAAGGTCAAACACTGCATTGTTGTGAGCCAACCATGCTGAAAATATAAAATTCTAATTTAGTAAGGAGAGGCCAGGTCGAGAAACGAACAAAGCTGTTATTGAGAACAAAAACAGAAGATGCTGGAAAAGCTCAGCAGATCTGGCAGCATCTATGAAGAAAAATCAGAGTTAACGTTTTGGGTCCGGTGACCCTTCCTCAGAATTGTTTTGAGGAAGGGTCACCAGATCCGAAGCATTGACTCTGATTTTGCTTCACAGATGCTGCCAGACCTGCTGAGCTTTTCCAGCATCTTCTGTTTTTGTTCCTGATTTACAGCATCTGCAGTTCTTTTGGCTTTTATTAAGTTGTCATTGGGGCCACAATACAACAAATGTTTAGGCAAATAAAATGTACACTTAACTATAAAGAACATCCCACAATATTTGTATATTTGGCCCTTCCAAAATTAAAATTAGTTCTGGAGCATTTTGAGTTTCACATCTTTTGGAGTGTGGACAAAAACAGGTTGTCAATGTTAGGTGGTGTAGTGTTTGGAGGTATTAGTTTGGTGTGATATTGGAATTTCACCAAGAACAGTATTGAGTACGGTGGGAAGGGAAATTGCTGTTTGTTCTTTATAATGTTTATAAATAAAGCTGTTTGACTATTTATAATAACAGAAATCTCACCATTAAAGCATACAGGTATATTTACATTAAGCAGGCCTGGGGATCATGCTGATATATCAAAAACAACTTACATTAAATTAGAGTCAACATATTAAATGCTTTGCTTTATTTTAGAGGAAACACTTCTCCACACTAATGTTTTAACACTGAAGTAGTGCTCCAAGATGTGGAAGATTTTAATGGACTATACGACTCCTTTGATTTGGAAAAGGAAGAGAAAAACCAAGGAAGGCAAATATGTAAATGACCTTTTACTGCTTGCACTAATCATAAATATAGACATGTTTTGCAATTGATTCTGGATTACTGGTTCATAGGTGGGAAATACATATCTTTTCACCCCATATTTTCCAAAACCAGGCGGCAGGTTATCCCAATTTATTAGGATGTACAGGTAGACTCCAGATTGCAAATGGGTTCCATTCTGGAGTCCGTTCACAGGTCCATTTGCAAGTTGGAACACAATGCAGGACAATATAAAGTAACCATTCCTAAGTATGGGAAATGTTCACGTGTTCTTTAAAATTACATCTCTCTATGAGATTGCATTCCCAAGTTGGACGTTTGTAATTCGGGGACCCCGTATTCATTAAGCAACTGAATATATCTAATTTGTAGACGCAAGAATGAAAACTGATCATGATAATCCATAAAATAAAACAAAAAAAACTGCGAATACTGGACATCTAAAACAAGAACAGAAATTTCCGGAGAAAGAAGCAGCATCTGCAGAGAGAAAACAGAGTCAACATTTCAGGTCCAGTAACCCTCCATGAGATAATTTGTAATCGATACAAATCAAAGGAATGATTGAGAAAGCTACAGGGCACAATGAATCAAAAGAACTTTACACTAATGGTGTTATTACAGGCTCCAAGTTACTCCCCTTATATTGTGGCAATGAGATTTCCATACGAAAATAGAGCTTAGGAGCAGAAGTAGGCCATGTAGCCTTCTGAGCCTTCTCAACATTCAAAGAGCATGGCTGATCTGGTGGTGGTCTCAGTTCCACTTTCCTGCTGGCACTCACAATCTCCAACTAAGATGTCTATCAAAAATCTAAATCAACTTTGATTAAATTAAGTTCCAGCCTCCATTTGGGAAAGAGAGTTCAATGTACTAATGACCTCCTAAACAAAACTCATCTCAGATGCGAGATCATAGATTTGATTTTTCTCTGCAGCTTCTCTGTAGCTGTAACACTGAATTCTGCATTCTGTTCTACTATCCTGATGTACTTATGCAAGGTATGATTTATCTGGATAGCAAACAAAACAATACTTTTCATTATATCTCGGTACACGTGATGATAATAAATCAAACCAAATCATTTATATTTTAAAATTAGTTCAGGGTTTAACTGAAGCAGGTGGAAAAATTACTTCTCTGTAGAGCTCTAATAATGACTGGACAGGAATCTACATGGTGCCTATGAAGGATAGAATTGTACATAGTACCCACTTATTGGAAGTTTTGCATTTTAAAAAAGGAGTCATTGTTTTATAAATGAGAAATGTAGTTTCATGATATGAACGAGATTTAGACACATTCATTTCAAAAAATATCTATGCGAGGGGGCAGTGCTTTGAAAGTTTGTGATGTCAAATAAACCTGTTGAACTACAACCTGGGTGACACTTCTGAAAAAATATCGATGAAAGCAAGCAAGCAAACAAAGCGTTGGCACACCTCGACAAGTTGGGTCCTCCTTGTTACGGCACTCCGTATCGTACAGCCTGACTATACCTTCTTCATTCACCACTGCAAGGACCTGACGCCACAGGTCTGCTGTAAAGTAGTCATATTAAAAATCACCAGCATATCAGCACTATTTAATTTTCACACAATCCCGTATGCATGGAAAGCGAAATGAAGTCAAACAAATGAAAACGAAGTGAGGTTGTTTCCCAATTTAGTATTAACACACTGTAGTTAAAATTACATCCCCTTTTGCAAGATTTTTTTGTATAATTCTCTCGAGATTCTTCGACTTGGTTGGCTGATGTCTACTCTAATCGTCTTTAAAAGATTTCTCATCTGAATTGTGGCCCTTAAATAAATAATACCTCTGACTCTCACAGCTGACAGATTTAAATGCTAGATAACTTTAAAATGACAGCCCTAAAACTTAAACCATTCACTATACTTTTAATGTCCAACTGGTCCACATGTTGTTCATCAGTATCACTGAGGAGGACAATACTTATTTCATGGGCACTACTTATTTGCTCTGGATAATCAGGCTGTAACATCACGAATGTGGCAATCAAATTTGTAGCTTCATGATTCCAAACTAATGTATGCTTTTAACTAATTAAAATTAGAGAGACCCAATAAGTGTGCAAGAAGTTCAGTCAAGCACTGGAGAGGTCAATTTACCTGTAGACCACAAGCAGCCAAATGGAGGAACTGCTGCCCCAAGGTCACCGTATGAAGTGTGTTCATCCCGTCGATTACATTGGTAATATTGCAGCAGAGTCTCTAAGGAGTAGCTGTGAGACTCTAACACGAAAGATAAAATTATGTTGAAACTAATAGACAAGCAACTGACAATAAAAAAACTCTGCAGTGACTACAACTTATCTTTTGTATAACATATTCCACACATACAAGTTTACAGCAATGTTTCATTGCAGTGCAGGCTAAGACAAATGGCATCCAAAAGGAAATTTTAAGATAAATAAATCCCTTAAAGAGATATCCGGATTAATGGGGTTTAATTTTTATTTGATTCATCATTTTAACGAAAAAGCGATCATTCATCATTCAGAATGATATTCGAGACATTTAATCAAGCATGAACCTAGAAGGTGTAGAGCTGGATGAACACAGCAGGCCAAGCAGCATCAGAGGAGCAGGAAAGCTGACATTTTGGGCCTAGACCCTTCTTCAGAAATGGGGGAAGGGAAGGGAAGGGATTTCTGAAATAAATAGGGAGAGAGGGGGAGGCGGAAAGAAGATGGATAGAGGAGAAGATAGGTGGAGAGGAGACAGACAGGTCAAAAGAGGCGGGGATGGAGCCAGTAAAGGTGAGTGTAGGTGGGGAGGTAGGGAGGAGATAGGTCAGTCCAGGGAGGACGGACAGGTCAAAGGGGCGGGATAAGGTTAGTAGGGAGGAGATGGGGGTGGGGCTTGAGGTGGGAGGAAGGACAGGTTAGGGAGGCAGGGACGAGCTGGGCTGGTTTTGGGATGCGGTCGGGGAAGGGGAGATTTTGAAGCTTGTGAAGTCCACATTGATACCATTAGGCTGCAGGGTTCCCAAGCAGAATATGTGTTGCTGTTCCTGCAACCTTCGGGTAGCATCGTTGTGGCACTGCAGGAGGCCCAGGATGGACATGTCATCTGAGGAGTGGGAGGGGGAGTTGAAAAGGTTCGCGACTGGGAGGTGCAGTTGTTTATTGCGAACCGAGCGTAGGTGTTCTGCAAAGCGGTCCCCAAGCCTCCGCTTGGTTTCCCCGATGTAGAGGAGGCCACAACGGGAACAGCAGATGCAGTATACCACATTAGCAGATGTGCAGGTGAACACCTGCTTGACGTGGAAAGTCTTCTTGGGGCCTGGGATGGGGGTGATGGGGGTGTTGGGGGAGGTGTAGCACTTCCTGCGGGAAAAGTGCCATCTCAAGCCCCACCCCCACCTCCTACCTACTAACCTCATCCCGCCCCCTTGACTGACCTATCTCCTCCCTACCTCCCCACCTACATTCACCTTTATTGGCTCCATCCCCGCCTCTTTGACCTGTTTGTCTCCTCTCCATCCATCTTCTCCTCTTTCCATCTTCTATCCGCCTCCCTCTCTCTCCCTATTTATTTCAGAAACCCCTTGCCCCTCCCACATTTCTGAAGAAGGGTCTAGGCCCGAAATGTCAGCCTTCCTGCTCGGCCTGCTGTGTTCATCCAGCTCTGCACCTTGTTATCTCAGATTCTCCAGCATCTGCAGTTCCTACTGTCTCTGAACCTAGAAGGTTTTCTAGCTAATCTCAATCACACTCCTCAACCGACATCCACGCTTTCGCATTCACACAGTCACTAGGTTGAAGTCAGGAAAAGTAATTTGTGTTGCTTCTCAACCTGAAACTGACTGCAGTATTCTACATCACCGCTGAGAAGAGTTAATATGGAATCTTTCTGATTTACGTAGCTGAATTCCAGTTAAAAGCAACTGAAGTACATTGCCTATGGAAGAGCAGGATTGTGCAAACGATAAGCTGCACGGTAGACTTCCGTACTAAATGCATCTCAAATTGATTTTTTAATCCAGCTTCACTCTGCACCATTAAACTAACAAGTGCTAGATATAAACCGTGAATTGAAAGGCGATGACAGGTGAGCAGTAATTATTACAATTTGATACCTCTTTTTGTAAATAAAAAACTTTTGTCAATACGAAAAATATCTAACACCCAATAAAAATTAAATATTGTTGTCCCCCGTTCAAAAAGCATTCAACTACAGCCTTAATTAAACTCCTTTAATAATATCCACTCAAATAACTGGATCTTAGTGCTTTCACGTTAGACTTCGAAGCCTACCAACATCTCAATGACAACGACACAGTGATGCGTATTGTAGACCATGTAGCTTTTCTCCTCGAAAGCTCGTGTAATTGAGACCAAAACAGTAAAAATAACTGCAGGTATTTCGCATTTCAATACAATTATAGAGTCACTTGATCGACTTGCACTTCAAATAACAAAACTTAGGGAAATTTCTACTTTTAAATGAATACCTACAGCCACGAAGATTGCGATTAGTTTCGGCGAAATAAAACACTGACATTTTGATGAATAAACCTTAAACAAGCAATGCTACATAACGTATCACAAATACATCGCGGCAATGTTGTCTTTAAAGAAAGACACACACAACCCTTTTATAAACCTGGAGTAGTTTCTCACCTCGCGTTTTGTTACAAATTCTGCTATTGAGCACAGAATGGAACAGCATCTTGAAATTCCCGGCTACTGAATTCAACACAACTCCCGCGCTCTGCACTCCTCCGTCAAACTGACGTCACACGCGCTGATTGGTCGACATGCGGAAGTGTGTCGTCCCGCTGTCACCTCCGCTCCTGGTGCATTACTGGGAGAAGGCGGTTGGCTCCCTCCAGTTAGACCCAGTGGTGTTTAATCATGGCGCTGGCAGCAGCTCGGCCCTTCCTGTCGGAAGGTGGTTATGGAGAGCAGGAAATGGACGCCAACTCTGCTCTGATGGAGCTGGATAAAGGTACCTATCGGAGGCAACTTGCCCGCTGTCGCTGTCTGGCCCTTCTCTTTTCTCGGATTTAACAAACCGGTGGAACGTTTTCCAAACTGACTTTAAAATGTCCAACAGAATATCTGGGACCATCTCGGGGCAGCAGCTGCGTTTTGGTGTTTATTATTACCCTCAGTGACACTCTCCAAACGTTTAAAGTTTCCCTTTGGACAGTGGAAGTCTGTGCAACTGGGTCTAAAATCTTGCATCTGCACATTAGATGTTGATGGATGTAAACTGATTGTTATTTTCAGAAAAGTGGCGTATTATAATCCCAGCCTTAGTTATTAGGACTGAAACTCACTTTATTGAGTTTTAAATCAAATCTCAAATTTGTTCGAAACAAATCATTCGAAAATAAACGTTTTTCTGACCGACTTGAATGGCTTATAAAGTGTTTGAAATCCTCCAGTTATTGCCAAGGATAAATTGATAAATCTGTATTCTGTGTTTACCTTTTATTTAAGTTCGTCAAGCTTTTGCTCTGGTCAAAATACCGTTGAAATAATCATTCACAGATCATAGCCAATGACCCTAATTATTTTGAAGTTTGCTGTAGACAAAAGGAAAAAAAAACAAAGACATTAAAGTTGTTACGTGAGCACAATTTGAAGTGTTAAGTCTAAGCAACATTGACATTATGCAAATATCTGGGCATTCAAGCAACATATACAATAGACTTATTTTGCATGTTTCCTTGGTGTAAGCTCATAAGTCATATCAGTCTGTCTCCCTTGCCTCCAGCCCAGAGTCACTTTTTACTTCCTTACTCCCTTACTCCCCATCCACTTTCATTGAGGTGCTGCCTTTCTCTTTCCTCATTTAAGGAGCTGCTCTTCTTGCCTACTGCTTCTTTCTTTGGTGTTTCATTTGACATATGCTTTTCTCACCAAAACTCATGAGATTTACATTGGCTATTTTGCACTGAACTGGTTAATGGATGAATATTCTGTGTGTGAGGGATTTATTGCCACGCTTGACAACTTGCTGATCCTCCTTTTCTCTGAGCTTTCCACCTAACTGGAAGTAAATTTCCATCAACTGAAAATTTGTATTCAGAGGTTGCAGCAGAGTTCGGTGACTTGAGCAAATCAGCACTATCACAAAAAGCCAAGAGTGGTGGTGTGAGACGCATTAGGCCGTGATGGATAACCGAGGGTGGGATTTTAGGAAGTAAACTTAAGCATGAGTATTTCATTCATACAATCTGGATCTGGATTGGAATCTGCAGTTTGAGAAACCCACCTATTGGAACTAGTCTTATTCTTTGTTTCTTGAAACTAATTGTGGAAAGTATATTGCAACAAAATTTAAAAAATATTAGAAACATAGAGTGAAAACATGAAGAAGCAGTCCAGACCAAGGTGATTTGCTATGTTGGATGGTTTACATCAGGTGTTGGGGTAGGGATCTTTCTATTTTTGAAACATCAGTGACATGGTGTAACATGGATTGGGTATGGGAAGCATTAGGGAAGAGTTTTGCTTTTTATGTAGGAACGACTCAATGAACAGCCAGAAGCACGAGTCAGAACTGTTTGCAAATAAAACATATAACACAGGTTAGTGACCCCTGTTACAAACAAAATTTTGTATTTTACCTCAAGACTTAAACATGTAAAAATATGAGACTTTCATAATGAGAAATTTTCTGAATTGCTGTGTACATTAAATTATCTAAACCTTTGAACTGTGTTGTAGTGAGTTCAAGTACCAATTGCAATGTTTTTATCCTATCTTTCAAGGACTGAGATCAGGGAAACTTGGTGAGCAATGTGAGGCAGTTGTTCGTTTCCCTAGGTTGTTTCAAAAGTACCCATTTCCGATTCTTATAAACTCTGCTTTTTTGAAGCTTGCAGACATCTTCAGAGTTGGGTAAGTATCAATATCTCTTGAAAGAATGTTCAAACAATTAGTTTTACATAGTTTTTGTAACAAATGTGATTTAACTAACTTCAGTATTTCCCTCTATCAGAAACAACTTTCTGAGAATGTGTGTGTTGAAAGTCACCCAGCAGAGTGAAAAGCACTTGGAGAAAATCTTGAATGTTGATGAATTTGTGAAGAGAGTCTTCTCAGTCATCCACAGCAATGATCCAGTGGCTAGAGCCATCACTCTCCGGTAAGCAAAAGTCTGGCGTTGTGTCAAAACATGCTGTGCCTTGGAACCAAAAATATTTGTAGTGAATTGGCATACATTTAGCCAAAATAAATAAAACAAATTTGTATGAAACATCTAGTATACTACACAAGTCACATTGTCTTCTGTAACTGTCAAGCAATTTGTATTTCCTGGGTTGACATGAACATTTGTAACTTACAGAAGCAGCTTGTGATTTTTAACTCTGTATAATATCCATGATAGATTCCCACTTTGTGGACTTACAAGGAAGCTGTTGTTTATTTTCATGTTTGTGTGTTTATATGTATATCGATCATTGTGCACCTAACCAAAGAAAATGAGAGTCACAAGATTGTATCTTTTTGCAGAATGCTGGGAAGTATGGCTTCAATTATTCCTGACCGAAAAAATGCTCATCACAGCATTCGGCAAAGTCTAGATTCACATGATAATATTGAAGTAGAAGCTGCCATTTTTGCTGCCGCCCATTTTTCTGCACAATCCAAGTAAGTGCCACTTTGAGTGACATTTATTCCTGCCTCAGAGCTGATGTTTGAAAACAGTTGCATCTTTATTGGGTGAGATGCAAGATCATGTATGTTGATTTGATATATTTGTTTATATGTTTGTGTTCGTGTGACTGTTACCATAAACAAAACTGCTATTTGCTTCATGTCACATGAAAATCTCTAAATAATATTTATCAATAGTAGCTATGAAGTAGCAGTCCAGTCTAGGGTAACTTGAATTTTGTTTTGTTTACAGCAGGTGTAATCTGCAAATGTTGAACGAGGCATCCTTCTACTGTTGCAAAATTAATGGTATAATTTAAAATGAGTTGGGTGAGGGATGAAGTATTAAAAAAGAGGAATAACATCCACAGAAGATTGGAAGAGTAAAACTAAAATTTACTTCAGAAGTATGAGTGATCAATATAGAGAAGTGTGAGACAAAATAAGATCTGTTGAATATAAGTGTTTAAGTACCTGGAGACTGGTAATTGCAGTTGAATAAGGTGAATTTCAGGCAAAAGTTGCCATGTAGGATTATAATTAAATGACAGTAATAGAGACATGACTCAAACAAGGGGATGAAAGGAGTTTTGAACATGCATTTCTACAAAGTATCCAGTAAAGAAGGGATAGTTTAAAAATGGGGTAAGGAGTCAATGGGTATGGAATGAAGTTCTTGGTGCAGGATCAAGGTTTGAAAGTCTGATTCTATTTGGATAGTATTAAGGAACATTGGAGGAATAATTGCATTGCTGGGCATAGGCACAAAACAATGAGAAAGAGATAAAGGAGCAAGCTTGCATGCACAATTCAGGAATATGCAATGAGGGACCTCTATTATCATAACACAGATTAGAAAAATAACTTTATAAAGAAGAGGAAGAATTGCTGCAATATGTGCAACAGGATTTTCTTGAACAGCATGCTTCCAGCCAGTGAAGAAGAAACAATGATGTTTCTGGGGATAAAGTGAGGTAGACAGAGCATTGTTCAGTGGAGGAACATTTGGAAAACAGCAATCACAGCATCATTGTGGCATAAGACAGAAAATTAAATGTGAAAAGAACCCATCATATGAAGGCTAATTTAAGGGAGTTCGAAAGGAATCTGGCCAAGGTGAATGGGAAATGTAGATTGGGAATTCAAACACTGCCAAGAGGAGGAAAGCAAGGGCATCAAAGCTGGAGGCAGGAATTCTGAGGAAGGGTTACTGAACCCAAAATGTTCACTCTGATTTCTCATCACACATATTGCCAGACCTGCTGAGTTTTTCCAGCATTTTCAGTTTTTGTTTTTGCATTAAAGCTGGTGTTCCATGGGTGACCAAATATATAGCAGTTAGAATAAATCTGAAAAAAACACAGTCTCATAACAAGTGTCTGGCTCATAATCAAGTAGAGAACCAAGCTAAACATAAAACTGAGAATTGAATAAGACATGAGCAGCAAAAGAAGTGATTGCAATATTTGCAGGTAATAGAAAAGGGAAACCAAGCGTACTTTATAAATGTCTGAAGAGACAAAGAAGAGGTGGGACCAGTTAGGAATTCAAAATCATCTTGGCAAGGCCCAAGTGCATTGCTTAGTTGTGAAATGAATGATCCTCATTTGATTTCATTATAGACAAGGAATTTGCAAATATGACAGGCAAGTAGAGCAATTGATTCAGATAGAAATGAAGAGGTGCTTCCAGATTTGTTAGTGCTGAAAGTCGAATGGGATATAATCTTTACTGCTTAAGAAAAAATAAAGATGGAAAAAGTGTGATCAATGAGTACAATCTCCAGTTTTTCATAGATGCCTGTACAGTGTCCAACAATTGGAAGAATTTCAATGTTAGACTTTTGTTCAAAAAAGTAGAGAGGAATAAACTTAGTGATAACGGCAAAACTTTGAGATAATCATGCTTAGATAATTGGTGCATGTAGAAGAATGTGTTAAAGCTCACTTGAATTCGTTAGAGCAAATTATGTTTTGAATTTAAATTAACTCCTTTGCAGTGTAGTGTGTTGATGGAAATAGTGCAGTTGTTGTTATTTGTGTGGACTTTGAAAAGGCATTTAATCAAATATTACAACAGACTTCACTGCAAAATTAAAACATGTTGGATAAAGGGACAG